TGGGCGCCAATGGCTCATGCCTATAATCCTAGCTACTCAGGAGGCTGAGATCAGAGCATCAAAGCCAATCTGGGCAGGAAAAGTCTGTGAGACTCTCATCTCCAATAAACCACCAGAAAACCAGAAGTGACACTGTGGCTTAAGTGGTAGAGCTCTATACTTAAGCTGAAGAGCTGAGGGAAAGTGCCCAGGTCCAGAGTTCAAGCCCCATGACAGACAAAAAAATAAAATAAAATAAGCTATTTAGGGGTCTGGGAAGGTGGCTCAGTGGTAGATTGCTTGCCTTGCATGCATGAGGCCCTGGGTTCGATTCCTCAGCACCACATAAGCAAAAAGAAAAAAGCCGGAAGTGGCGCTGTGGCTCAAGTGGTAGAGTGCTAGCCTTGAGCTGAAGAGCTGAGGGACAGCACCCAGGCCCAGAGTTCAGGCCCCACGACTGACCCCCCCCCAAAAAAAAAGCTATTTAGCCTATTTACATTTTAATATGCCTCTAACTAACCAACTTGGGACATTAGCATTTTAGTAAATAACCTCACAGAGCCTTTCTCCAAGGAAGATAGAACTCAAAGCCATGCACCTCCCACCCCCACTTTATAGAGGAAAGAAGGGATCAGAAATACACTATGACTTGCATGTAGAATAGCCAGGATTTGACTTCCCTGTTTTGTTTGATGTTGGTCCTGGGGCTTGAACTCTAGACCTGGGCACTGTCCCTGAGCTTCTTTTGTTCAAGGCTAGCATCTACTACTTGAGCCACAGCACCACTTCCAACTTTTTCTGAGTTTACTGGAGATAGTCTAACAGATTCTCCTGACCAGGCTAGCTTTGAACTGCTATCCTCAGATCTCAGCCTCTTTAGTAGCTAGGATTACCAGTGGGGGCCACAAATGCCTGGCTATAATTTTAAAAGAACAGAAATTGAGCTGTCAGTGAGTATCCTACGTACAAATTTTTTTTATTTTTATTTTTTGCCAGTCATGGGGCTTGAACTCTGGGCCTGGGCACTGTCCCTCAGCTCTTCAGCTCAAGGATAGTATACTACCACTTGAGCCATAGTGCCACTTCTGGCTTTTGCGGTTATGTGGTGCTGAGGAATCGAATCCAGGGGCTCCTGCATGCGGGACAAGCACTCTACCACTGAGCCACCTTCCCAGCCCCAAGTCTGAAATCTTGAGTGATTACTTCCATCAAAATGTATTCTAAGTTGGGTGGTGGTGGCTCCTGCTTATAATCCTAGCTACTTAGGAGGCTGAGACCTGAGGATTGTGGTTCAAAGCCAGCCAGGCAGGAAAGTACATAAGACTCTTATCTCCAAATAACCACCAGTAAACCAGAAGTGGTGTTGACAGAAGTATGTTCTGTCAACAGTATTCTATTGAATGCATTAAATAAGAAGCGATTGTTTTGAGGAAGGATCCAAAAAAGAAACTAGGACAATAGCTTAGTAAAGCTGTTTCTGATCTTTTTCCAATCATGAAAATTTCACCCCTACCTTTTCAAAAATTAAAATGGCTTGTATAAATTTTAACATATTACTATATCAAATAACTTTAACAACATGATGAATTGATCCTCTGGGAAGGTTTTGCTTCACAGGAGTCCCTTATCCACCCAATAGAGTTAGCAAACAACTACATAGTCAACTGTTAGCTGCAGGGAGGGCCAGTAAGGACAGGACCCTAGAGATCACTGTTCTCTATGGTATTCCCTTATGAATGTAGTAAACTAGAAGCCATGGAATTTATGTCAATCCCATCACTACCTTTAGCACTACAGCACCCCAATTTTGACCACAGAGTTAACAAATTTCCTTATAAGATGTAAGCAATCACAGGTAATTAAGGTTTGTTTTAACTTTTTATTAGGAAACTAAAGCAAAACAACAGAATCCCAAAAAAATTAAAATACAGAATTCTAACTTCAATTCTAAACAAATATGAAATCTACAATATTTGTAAATAAAGAGGAATGGCTAAAATGCATCTGTAGTAATTATTTCTTTGCTAGCCTCAGCTTTGCATCCCTTAACTTCCTTGTTCCTTGACCTACGGCAGAGAATGTCTTTCTCACCTGTCTTTGTTCCTATAAGTTTAGAGGAGCTTTTGTCTGTTCCACAGCATCTATGTGGGCACCTTCCTACTGAGCTTAGAGATGTGAGCACAAAGATGAGTCCATCAAAGGTCCCATCCTAATGTAAGGGAGCTAAGACACCAATAAATAATCAATAAATATAAATATTTTGTACAAGGTACAAGTCACACAATATGAGTTAGTACAGATAAAATATAAAATAAGAACAATGTCAAAGGAGCAATTACATTCAGCTAGAGCATATGCAGAATGCTTTCTGAGGACAGCATCTGGGTTGGGTATGGACTATTCTTTCCTAATATACAAGGCTTCAAAGTGGTCCTAGATCCCACAGTCCCAATTGTGTGGTCTTGGGTTCAACATTAATATTTAAAACTCTTTAAGCTTCTATCTCTTAAAACAATGCTCATTTCTTAAAACAATTAAAAAATTCTAATATTACAATCTATATAAACAGTACTTTACGGAGTTAAAATGATAAATTCAGTAGGGTTTGGGTCTTTGTTAATTTTAAAGCTCCCTAATCAAGTTTTATCTAAAGGGAAAAAGATGCCTAATCATTGAGACACAATTTCAAACATTCAACTGAGCAAAGCCCTCTTGCTTTAGGTACATAATCAAATCTGTATTTAAACTTACAGGAATAAGATGAAATAAACAGCTGAACACTGAAAAGTCAAACAATGAAACTGTAATGGCAACTATGAAATGATTTCTAAACCACAGAATTCCTTGTACGAAAAAATTTTAATGAATTATGAGCAATGAACATTACAGGCTTCCCCCTTAATATTTCTTCCTTCCTACGTCAAACCAGATAATTAAAACAGCTGATCTCGAGTATAGCAGAAGACCATAGTATGATTCAGAGGAATAGTAATGTCTGCTTCCACAACTGCATGCTTCATTAAAGAACCAAAGGAATGCTCCCTGTCTCCCAAGGCAACACTGTAAATTGGATTGCACATTTTTTCCTGATCATTGTTGTGGCTGAAAGTGCTATTGTCTCCCAACAGTACTTTTTGTTCACAGCACACTTTCCCATTACTTTTTCTTTTACCTTCAGTATCCTTGTGAGGTAGTAAAGGGAGGGAGCAAGAATTTTGTTTTGCAGATAAGAAAATCCTATGTGAATTTTAGATCAACTGTTCTCAATGTCATACTGACATCATCAGAAAGTTAAAAAAAAAAATCCTTATGGTCAGGTCATATCCCAAACCAACATCAGAAACTATGGCATGGGATCTAAGCATAAATATTTTTAAAAACACATTTTGAAGTGATTCCAAAGCACAGCCAAGGTTGAGAAGCAATGATTTAGGGTGAGTTACATACCACCTTCTAGTGCAACTGTCTTCTACTTAAATGCTCTCAGCACCAATGAAAAAAGGGATTTCCTTGAACATTGAACAGTTCATTTTAATAATCTGGATAGCTGCTATTAGTCTCTAGTAACCAGTCATTTATCAGGTTATAAATGAAGGCTCTTCATTTCCCCCAATGTTCACACTAACTAGCAACTTCTATTTTATAAAACTTGCAAATTCAAATCTTTGAGATCCAAATGGCTTGTTAAATAGTCAGGCAATTATCTGATCCTAGGTTCAATATGAAACACCTATGTGTTTGCTATATGTTTTTCCAATCAGCACCTTCAAGACCAGGTTACAAATGTTTACTAATGGGACAAACAGAAGTTACAAACGAAATTATCAGCAAAAGCTCTTGAAATTGGCTGTATCACAACCTGAAAATGCAACAAGTATTTAAAGGACTTCATCATTGTCTAAACAGTCATTTTTCATCCTGACCCAGTTCTCATCGTTAGTCAAATTTTACATCTCATCAAATTGAGTTGAGTTGAAAAATCAATTTCTGTGTCAACTACAGTCTCAAATACATTTAACATACAACTTCACTCTATACAACTAAGTTTCTTCTTGACAGGGCTATCAAAAGGAAATAACAAATTTCACTTTTCAAGCAATGGACCAGAAACATAATAAATACTTGTAAACCTTTCAGGTAGCAACAACAAATTTTTGTTCTATGGCTGAAATCTCCTGCTTCACAGGAGTATTGTTCATTTTAACTCTCTAGGAGCAACCCAAGAACCCCAGCAAGCTGCTTGCTGTCCCTAATTTTGTTAGATTTAAAGCAAAATATAAATAGAGCAATAATCTAAAAAGTACAAAGATTTCACTTGCTTTGATCAATTCTTACGTATCTGAAACCATACAATTTATACTTTCACACAGAAAGATGTTTCTCTTCTAACAAAAGAAAAATCTCAGCTCTTATGTGTTGGATTATTAATTCAAGAGTTAGTGAAGAGATAAGATTTATCAGGTAAAATAGGAAATGTTAACCTCTTCTCCAGTACAACTTTCAAAATATTGCCAACCCTAAATTTTTAGCACAATGTGTTGTAGTTCAAGTCCCTTGGGAGCAATTACCTATAATGAGATTAAGAATATTCTTAACCTGAGCTCAGGTTGGCGCTATTTCATATGGATGAGTAAACATTTTCTTGATAGCCCCAATGAAGAGTTTGAGGCTTAGACTGTTGCTTGTTGTAAACAATATTAAATTAAGATTATCTGACAACATCTACACCATTATAAAGTTAGAAAATGAAAGAACCATTAACCATTTCTTTTCCTACGGTTTATGGCAAACAGCTCTCATATTTGAGGACTATAAGAGCACATAGCATTGTCCTGTAAAATGAGACACTTTCTCAGAAAGCCAAAAAGTGAAACCAGGTACCAAAAGTTGCATATTACTATTATGTTTTAGAATCATCTTTACTTATATAGGTATAATTAGAAGAACTATCTTCCCTCAATCTTAAGTCAGGAGGTAAGGAATCTTTACCATTATCATGATGCTGGTTGGGTTTTTTTTTGTTTTTTTAAAGACAACTGTAATAGCTATAGGAACTGTAAACCAAAAATAACACAAAATGAGCCAACACAACACATGTCCTCTTAAAGTCCTCTTCTTTATGGTTACCCAATTTCCCCCGAATATTATTCTAATTTTGTACCATGTAGTGGTCTGTTTAAGAAATTTAACTAGAACAAAGCAACCCTTTGTCCTTTTTTTTTTACACACATATTGTATATACAACTTTTAAAATACCTGCACAATTTTATTTCTCATTGCTAGAGAAGTGCAGTCCAGGCAGACCATGCTTCTCAATATATTAAAAATATTAAATAAACCCCAACCAGTTTCATACTTATCTAATAGTCAAGCTGGCTGGGGGGAAAAAAAAGGACTGGAGACTGGAGAAAGAACAGGCAGTTGTAAGATGGAATCAATCTTTCTTCACAAACAAACTACTTAAAAATCTTGTTTTTCCTTATCTTATCCCTTTTACAGCACCTCTAACATCTCACCTTTAACGCTGGAAAGAACACATTGACAACTTAAGAGATAAATCTGTTGTATCATGCATATGTTAACTGCCCACTCAACCAACTGCAACCCTGAGGATTATTCTGGCCCAGTGGAAAGAGGAAACACTAAGATAATCTCTGCTGTAGAGTTGCTTCTCCAGTTTACAACTTCATGTGTTTTCAGGATGTTTCTTGGACATGCACACATGACTGTCACTTCATGATTCTACTTTCCACAAATAGGTCTCCTCTACTCTGTCTTTCAACCCAAAAAAGCCACTGTCATCCATCCAAAGGTTTTCCAAGGTAAACCAAAGTCACTTCTGTGTTGCCATATACAGCAGAAACTGCTGGATATAAGCAGGCTTTTGGAAGTCCTCTGAAGGCCACCCCCAGGAATTCATATCCACGTTCAAATGCTAAAGTCTTATCTTCCATGTCCAAGATGACTCGGATTCTTTCTCCTATCTGTAAACAGACATTACATAAAGTTAGAAGAAAATCCACCAAAGGCACAGCCAGAAAAAAAAATGACACCAATTAAGAAGTTGAAAACATAATTAAGAATATATATCTTAAAAGCTATCTAGAGGGACTGGGAAGGTGGCTCAGTAGTAGAGTGCTTGCCTCACATGCATGAGGCCCTGGTTCGATTCCTCAGCCACCACATAAGCAGAAAAAGCAGGAAGTGGCGCTGTGGCTCCAGTAGTAGGACAGCGCCCAGGCCCAGAGTTCAGGCCCCATGACCAAAAAAAAAAAAAAAACTATCTAGAAAGGAAAAACTTTTTTTTTGGTCGGTCGTGGGGCTTGAACTCTGGGCTTGGGCGCTGTCCCTCAGCTCTTCAGCTCAAGGCGAGCTTTCTACCACTTGAGCCACAGCGCCACTTCCAGTTTTCTAGTGGTTTATTGGAGATAACATTCTCATGGACTTTCCTTGCCCGGGCTGAATTTGAACCTTGATCCTCAGATCTCAGCCTCCTGAGTAGCTAGGATTACAGGCATAAACCACGGGCACCTGGCTCAGGAAAACTTTTTGGTCAGGGGAAACCATCTAGGAGAAATAACTAACACACATCATTCTTTCCACAAATGCTCACTCTCACTCTGATCATTTTTTTTAACTTATATAAGATCTACATTTAGTTATTAGCATCTCAAATGTTCCCCCGAACAGCCCTTACATTTTTCCTTGTTCTTCACTTAAAGGCTTTTCTACAACTTGGTATATTTTACTATAAAAAGTCTATCTAAATTGTCTTTGAAATTACGATAGCATTTACATATAATGTAATAGTAGAGAGAAAAAGAAATGTTAACCTGTTACAACACATTATGCTAAATAAAATAAGCCAGACATAAAAAGACAAATATTGTCTTTACATTGATTCCATTTATATGAAGTTCTTAGTATAACCAGAGACACAAATAGAATATAGATTTCCAGGGGCTGAGGAACAGGAGACATAGGGAGTTACTGTTTAGTGAGTAACAAGTTTATATTGAGGATGAAGGATGATTTGGCTATAGTGTTATGATTATATATTGTAAATATGTTTAATTCCATTTAACGGAATGCTTAAAAATAATTAGAATGACAAAGCCCAGCACCCATGGCTCAAGCCTATAATCTTAGCTACTTGAGGGGTTGGGATGAGAAAGATTCTGATGCCAAGCCAGGTGAAACAAATAAGCCCAAATGACCACAGAAGGTAAATTGGACCAGGTCAGCTTGAACCTGTATGCACTGGTGACTCATGCCTGTAATCCTAACTACTCAGGAGGCTAAGATCTGATGATTGGATTTGAAGCCAGCCTGGGCAGGAAAGAATGGGGGTGGATCAAAGAGGGGAAGGAAGAGAAGGGGAGGAGAAGAGGGGAGGAGGAGGAGACGGAGAAGAGGGGGAGGAGAAGAGGGAAAGGAGGGAAGTGAGGGAGGAGGAGGAGGAAGAAGAGGAGGAAGAGGAGGTTCTATCCTAAACACACACACCACACACACACACACACACACACACACACACACACACACACACACACACACATGGCTCAGTGGTAGAGCGCTTGCCTTGCATGCATGAGGCCCTGGGTTCAATTCCTCAGCACCACATAAGCAAAATGGAAAAAAAAAAGCCGGAAGTGGCGCTGTGGCTCAAGTGGTAGAGCGCTAGCCTTGAGCTGAAGAGCTGAGGGACAGCGCCCAGGAGTTCAGGCCCCATGACCGGACAGAAAACTAAAACACACACACACACACATACACACAGAGCTGGAGGGATGGATCAGTGGTATTGCTCGAGCCTAGCTAGTGTAAGGCTCTAAATTCAAACCCTAGTATTGCCCTAGCTTAAGGGGGAGAAAAAACAACAACAACAACAGGTGCTGCCTCCAGTGGTTCATCCTGGCTATTCAGGAGGCTGAGGTCTGAGAATTGTGGTTCAAAGTCTGCCTGGGCAGGAAAGCCCATGAGCCTCTTCTCTCCAATGAACCATCAAAAAGCCAGAAAGGGAGCTCAGGTGGCAGAGGACTAGCCTTGAGAATAAAAGCTCAAGTACAGTACTCAGTCCCTAAGTTCAAGCCCCAGGACTGGCACAATTTTTTTTTTGAGGCGGGGAGGGGAAGTTATGGGTGAACTCTGGGCCTGGGCCCTTGTCCCTGAGCTCTTTAGCTCAAGGCTAGTGCTCTACCACTTGAGCCACGGCACCACTCCTGGTTTTTTGGTGGTTAATTGGAGATAAGAGTCTCACAGACTTTGCTGCCTGGGCTGGCTTTGAAACGTGATCCTCAGATCTCAGCCTCCTGAGTAGCTAGGATTACAGGTGTGAGCCACCAGAATCCAGCATAAAATAATTTTTATAACATAAAAAAGGTTAAAATAACATTAATTGAGCCGGGCACAAAAAAGCTAGGAGTAGCCAGGCATCGGTGGCTCACCCCTGCAATCCTAGCTACTCAGAAGGCTGAGATCTGAGGATCACGTTTCAAAGCCAGCCCAGGCAGGAAAGTACATGAGACTCTTATCTCCAATAAACCACTAGAAAACTGGAAGTGGTGCTGTGCAAGCAGGGTAGAAAGCTCGCCTTGAGCTGAAGAGCTGAGGGAAAGCGCCCAAGCCCAGAGTTCAAGACCCACAACTGACAAACAAAACAAAACAAAAAAACCCCAAAACATTAATTGTAAAAATCACTCTAGTAATAATGGGTTTAAAGTTTATAAAGCAGTTTTACATACAATGTAGAATTTATATAATCATAAATAACCTAACTGTAGATGCTAAAAATGCAGAGTGGTTCTCATAATGTTGTGCCATGCAACCTCCCTTCTCTTTCGTATTTCTTTCCTAATAAACTTTATCATTTTTACTACCAAAAAATGCAGCACGGGGCTAGTGGCTTACTCTTGTAATCCTATCTACTCAGGAGGCTGGAAATCTGAGGATCAGAGTCAAAGCCAGCCTGGGCAGCAAATACCATAAGACTTACCTCCAATAAACTACTCAGAAAAAGCCAGAAGTGGTGCTGTGGCTCAAGTGGTAGAGTGCTACTCTTGAGCAAAAGAAACTCAGGGACACCCAGGTCCTGAATTCAAGGCCTAGGACCCATGTTTCCCCCCTGCTTTCTCCCTCCTCCCCCAATAAAAGGGACTTATTAAACAGTTTGTGTTCTATTGCTCTAAAACACTTAATTGCTTTAGGAACAGCAGCACCATTTGTTAAACTAAACTGGAAATTCAATATATCCAGTGCTTTTACTATTTTGAAAGAAGACTATCTTGCCTTTATAGTTTGCATGTACAAAAAGAATTCTGAATCTATATAATTAAGAGGTAGAGCCGGGTGCTGGTGGCTCACGCCTGTAATCCTAGCTACTCAGGAGGCTGAGATCTGAGGATCGAGGTTCAAAGCCAGCCCGGGCAGGAGAGACCGTGAGACTCCTATCTCCAATAAACCACCAGAAAACCGGAAGTGGCACTGTAGCTCAAGTGGTAGAGCGCTCACCTTGAGCTGAAGAGCTGAGGAAAACCCCCAAGCCCAGAGTTCAAGCCCCACGACCGACAAAAAAAAAAAAAAAAAAAGAGGTAGAAGCCAGGCACTGGTGGCTCACACCTGAATCCTAGCTACTCTGGAGGCTGAGATCTGAGGATCGCAATTCAAAGTGAGCTCAGGCAGGAAAGCCCGTGATACTCTTTTCTCCAATAAACCACCAGAAAACAGGTAGTGGTGCTGTGGTTCAAGTGGTAGAGCACTAGCCTTGAGCTGAAGAGATGAGGGACAGTGCCCAGGGACAGTGCCCAGGCCCAGGCCCAGGCCCATGACTGCCCAAAAAAAAAAAAGAAGAAATAGAAAGTTTTAACATTTATAATAAAAAATCAATTTTTTCATGATATTCTCACAAATAACTGCAATTTTTTTTTGCCTCTCTTTCCCAAGTAACTCATTAACCCATAATCTATTTTAAGGACCTAAAATTCTCCAAATCTTCATTGTCACCACTGCTCCCAACAATACACAAACAAAAACAAGGTGTGGTAGCACACTCCTTTAATTCCAGCTACGTGAGTGGCTAAAGCAAGAGGCTCTCAACTTCCAGATCAATCAAGCAAAGCAAGGAAGAACCTATTTCAGAAACAAAATACAAACAAAAGCGCTGGGGACATGCCTAAAGTCCTAAGGATGGGTTCATTCCTCAGAACCACAAAATGTTAATGTTTTGTTGAGTAACTGACTTTTGTCTTTATCCCATTTAACCTTACATCAATCTCAGGGTTATTACTATTTTATGGGAGATAAAAATAAGCAGACAAAAACAATACTACTAGCCAGGCACTGGTGGCTCATGCCTATAATCCCAGCTTCTCAGCAAGCTGAGATCTGAGAATCATGGTTCAAAGCCAGCCTGGGCAGAAAAGTCTGTGAGATTCTTATCTCCACTAAAACTACCAAAAAAAGCCAGAACTGAAGCTGTAGCTCAAGTGGTACAGTGCTAGCCTTAAGCACAAAAGCTCAAGGACAGCACCCAGGCCCAGAGTTTAAGCCCCAGGACTGGCTAAATAAATAAATAAACAATGAAATTCACAAGTATGCTTCATTTTGAAGTGTATATCATGTACACAATATAAGAACAAAAACCAGCTGGGTGCTGATGCCTTACACCTATAATCCTAGCTACTGAGGAGGCTGATCTGAGGATCAAACTTTGAAGCCAGCCCAGGCAAGAAAACTCCCTAAGACTCTTATCTTCAATTAACCAGTAAAAAGCCAGAAGTAGAGCTGTGGTAAGCACTAGCCTTGAGCAAAAGAAGCTTAGGGATAGTGCCCAGACCCTGAGAGTTCAAGCCCCAGGACCAACACACATATAAACAACACACACACAAACAGACACACATGCACAAAACAGAAGTTTTACTGTTGTTAGATGTCCATGGGTACTTTGGAATGGCAGAACAATGAGAACTGTGAAAACTCCAGTGCAATGGAACTACTGAAAGGATAAGCTTCCAAATCTGAGAATTAACTGCCCAAATTTTAGTGAGACCACAGGGATTACATTGGCAGGACAAGTACCAAGGAACCACACTAAAAACAGCACACTAAAAACGTCTTTTGCTGCTGCATACCACATGAGAGACAAAATTTAAAGTTTGGGTTTATACAACTTAACTGTCTACTATTACAAGAAAACATATACTTCAGAGAATAAAGCTGTTTCCATAATTTAAAAAAAAATCAGTTAGCTGGGCAATGGTGGCTCACATCTGTAATCCTAGCTACTCAGGAGGCTGAGATCTGAGGATCATGGTTCAAAGCCAGCCCAGACAGGAAAGTCCTTGAGACTCTTATCTCCAATCACCCACAAGAAAACCAGAAGTGGCACTGTGGCTCATGTGGTAGAGTGCTAGCCTTGAGCTGAAGAGCGCAGGGACAACACCAGGCCGAGTTCAAGCCCCATGACCGACCAAAAGGAAAAAAAAAATCAGTTTACAGAAGTGGTGCTATGCCTCAAGTGGTAGAGTGCTACTTGGTCAAAAAGGAGCTCAGGGATAGCACCCAAGCCCAGAGTTCAAGCCCCAGGACTGGCACAAAAAAAAAAAAAAAAAAAAAAACAAGATCCATTTAAAGTGATCTAAGAAACCCAAGAGTGGTTAAAACTGAGAGTCGGGGGAAAAAGTGCTCTGTAATATTAAGCATAAAAAAGCTAGAAGGACTAAAATTAAAATCTGACAAAATGGTTAAAGACAAAAAATATGAACAGAGTCAAAAATCATATAAGAATTAAAAAACCTCAAAAGACAGGAAGATGTAACAGTTAGAAACATATAGACATCTAAACAGTTCTTAAATTATGAACCAAAAACTGACAAAACCAAAAAAAGACAAGGTACATCAGAAGATTTCAATAGTTTACTCAAGATAAGTAGAATCAGTAGGTACAAAATTATAGTGAGATAGGAAAAAATTGTACTGTGTAATATTAGAACTCTAACAAAAATGTTATCTAAGATTTCAAAATATTGTTCTCAGCACAAATGATAAATGTTTAAGATGACAGATATGTTACTTTATACTGATTTGATCACTATGCAATGTCTACATGTATTAAAACATATTGTTTCCTATCAGTATTTTCAAATGTGTCAATCAGAAACTTAAAAAAAAAATCAGAAAAATCATTAAGCCGAGCTCTGATGGCTCACACCTGTAATCCTAGCTATTCAGGAGGCTGAGATCTGAGGATCACGGTTCAAAGCCAGCCTGGGTAGGAAAGTTTGTGAGACTTATCTCCAATGAACCACCAGAAAACTAGAAATGGCACTGTGCCTCAAGTGGTAGAGCATCAGGCCTTGGGCTAAAAAACACAGGGACAGCACTCAGGCCCAGAATTCAAGCCCGACAAAAAACAAAACAAAACAAAAAAGTCATTAATAATACAGACTTGAACTCTTATTAACTTGACATAATTGTCATTTAAATAATACCATATCCAAGAATAAAATATACATCCTTTTTAAGCACACATGGAATAGCCTTGAAAACAAACTATATGCTGAGACTAAAACAAGTCTCAATTAACTGAGAAGAGGGGCTGGTAAGGTGGCTCAGTGGTAGAGTGCTTGCCTTGCATGCATGAGGCCCTGGGTTTGATTCCTCAGCACCACATAAGCAGAAAAAGCTTGAAGTAGTGCTATGGCTCAAGTGGTAGAGCACTAGCCTTGAGCTGAAGAGCTCAGGGACAATGTCCAGGCCCAGAGTTCAGGCCCCATGACCGCCAAAAAAAATAAAAAACTGAGAAGAATTGAAATCAAACATGCTAAGTGCCTGAAAACAAAGACTTAAGGACTTCTAACACAAACTTACTAGGAGGATAATAACAAGACCTTCTCTACAATAGTAAGTCAAAATACCCCTTTCCATAGGGTACATGCCTGCAAGTACAATAAGGGATCCTATGAAAGAATCCTCCAACTTTTTCTGTGAAACGAAATTCTAACTTTCATGTATCAGAAAATGGGATGTATTTTTAGTTCTACTTTAGTATGACTTGCTTGATGTCATTATTGAGGCTAGAAATACCAAGAAGTACTCAGAAGGCTGAGATCCGAGGATTGCAACTCAAAGCCAGCCAGGGCAAGGAAGTTTGTGAGACTCTTACCTCCAGCTACCTATTAAAGAAGCCAGAAGCAGAGCTGAGGCACAAATGACAGAGTGTTAGTCATGAGCACAAAAGCTCAGAGACAGTACCCAGGCCCTACGTTCAAGCCCCAGGGCCAGCACAAAAGAAATAAAAAAAAATTAATCGAGCGAAAGTCTTAGTTCCTTAAGACTTTCAATTTTTATCAGATTTTTGTATTTTACCATCTGCCAAATCTGTGGTAGGCTTTTAGCAATAGGAATTAAATATTAAAAAGTACCCAAATTGTCTCTAAAATAAAATGAATATGGCTTAAGGCTAAAATGAAAAGAATAAAAACATAGAAGTTTGCCTGAACTTGCCTGTCTCTACAGTAAAGTCAAGTGCCTCCAAGGGCTTTGAATGCACAAATTAGTAAATATCAAAAAGTGAATATGCCTCTGTGTGTATGTGTGTGTGTGTGTGTGTGTCAAGTCAAATACACAGAAATATATTTGATGGGCTGTGTGTGTGTGTGTGTGTGTGTGTGTGTGTGTGTGTGTGTGTGTGTCAAGTCAAATACACAGAGATATATTTGATGGGCTGTGGTATCTAAGATATCTAAAATAGATTTGGGACAGCACCAAATCTATAATTGTTACTCAGGAGGCTGACATCTAAGGATCAAAGTTTGGAATCAGCCTAGGAAGACAAAATCTTGAGATTCTTACCCCCAATTAGCCAGGAAAAAGCTAAAAGTGGAAGTGTACTTCAAATTAGTTATATACCAGCTTACGGCACAAAAGCTGGCCAAAAGCAATACCTGGGCTCAAGCCTCAGTACTAGCCTATACACAAGAAAGATTTGGAAAGATGAAAGGAAAGATGAAAACTTCAAGCAAGAGATGAGCGGGCGAACTATTGTCACTGGACCAAATCTGCCCTGAAGACTATAACTGTTACTTGGGCACAGTCACATTCACTCATTCACAGTATCTATAGTTAGGTTCATGCTGTAACAACAGTTGAAAGCTGTGACAAAAGACCATACAAATTGCAAAGCTTAAAGTATCTACCCTAGTCTTGTTCAGAAAAAGCTTGATAACCCCTGATCTATAGCAAAGATAAGTTGTTCAAGGTCAAATATGTATTAGTAAATAAATATCACTTAAACAATATATATCATTTAAACAATATATATCATTTAAACAATTACAACCAAAAAAACCTCATAACTGCTAAATAAAAATTTCTAAGTTTAAACAAATCTATGTGTGATTTCAACAAGGCCTACAGTTGAGAAAATATCTGTTTCTCACCTGGTATTTTGGTGCATTATTACACTGTGGAAAACTGCCATTGACTTCTCCATTATGCAGCAGATTATTGTCCACTAGATTCCAGCCCCAGCTCTGGTCATCACTGCCCAGCAATGCCACATAACCTTGGCACTGCATGGGGGCCCGTTTTGTAGCAATTCCAATTACTGCCACAGTGCCCAGAGGGCCCTCCCACCATACTTCCCACGCATGGCGGCCCTCACTAAAACCAATCTTGGTCCTTGCACCATCAGTGCTCTGAGCAATGGGGTTTCGATGTAAAGTAAAGCCATTCTTCTTGATATAGACATTCCTGGAGCAGTCATTAGTGCTGAAGGCATGTTGGAAAGCACGTACCTAAAGAGATGAGAAACATATCAAAGAAAACAAATTTAATTTTTCTTAAATATTGAAAAGTACCCAAATTTGAGGCTTATGTTTTTAAATAATAAGGCTATATTTTTAAATAACCAAGTGTTTCCAAATATTGGCTTAAGTTTTAGGATAGGAACCAAACATTAAGATTATACAACATGCTGGGTGCTAGTAGCTCACACCTCCAATTCTAGCTACTCAGGAGGCTGAGACCTGAGGACTGTAGTTCAAAGCCAGCCCAGGCAGGAAAGTCCATGAGACTCTTATCTCCAATTAACCACCAGAAAACAAGAAGTGGACACGTTGCTCAAAGTGGTAGAACACTAGCCTTGAGCAACTAGAGCTCAGGAACAGTGCCCAGATGCTGAGTTCAAGCCCTACAAATAGGGGGAGAGGAGGATTATACATTAAAAATAACTTCCAACTGGAATTAGGCATGTTGATACATGCCTGCAGTCATCTCTTGAGACTAAGAATGAAGGACCATTTCAACCAGTTTGAGATCATCCTGGGAAACAAAATGAGACCTTGTGTAACAAACAATTGCCAACCTGCTTGTTGCTGACCAAATTCTAAACTGTACTATATAAATTCTTCAAGTAGACTTTTTTTTTTTTTTTGGTCAGTCATGGATCTTGAACTCTGAGCCTGGGTGCTATCCCTGAGCTCTTCAGCTCAAGGTTAGCACTGCTCTACCACTTGAGCCACAGGACCACTTCTGGCTTTTTCTGTTTATGTGATGCTGAGGAATCGAATCCAGGGTCTCATGCATGTGAGGCAAGCATTCTACCACTGAGACACCTTCTCAGCCTTTCAAGTAGACTTCTTAAAATATCAAAAGATATGCCCAAGAATCCTTGTATTTTAGAAATAATAAAATGTTTTTGGATGAAACAAAAGTAAGTAGAAATTTCTTAAAAATACGCAGGGACAGAGGAGGACAGAGTGTGTTGGGTAAACATGAAAACTAGATTTCTCATGAGTCATTGGTAAAACTTGCTGATCAGTATAAAGAAATTCCTTAAAGCATTTTTTTTCACTTGTACATTTTTCCTTTTCTTTTTTTTAAGCATTTTGTTTTTATTGGTGTGTGTGGTACTGGGATTGAACTCAGGACCTCCTGTTTGCCAAACAGGCACTCTACCCCTTAAGCCACTCCCCCAGCCCCAAGAGATGTATATTTTCATATAATTATAATCAAAACAAATTATACTTTGGAGCTGGGGGTATAACTCAGTGATAGAGTGCATGCCTAGCATGCACAAGGCACTGGCTTCCATCCTCAGCACTGAAAAAAAATCTCTTTTAAATAAAATACTTTAGTCATAACAGCTTGACAGTTTATGAAAATTTTTAGTAACCACAAACTAACGTAGATCTTTAGCATACTTGCTAGGTATTACTCATACACTGAGACATTGCCACTCTCATTTTACCAAATAAAGATCCTCTACATAGCAAGTAAAATCAACCAATAGGACTTGTAGCCATTAAGAGCAAACTACCAATAAGACAAGTTATTTTAACTCTTCAATAATTGTAGATTTAAGCTCCAAAAAACACCATAAAAGTAGCTACTTCATTTACATAGTAACAATTTGTTGTGTTTTAATAATTTAAAACTTTTGGCCAGGTACTAGTGGCTTATGCCTGTAATCCTAACTACTCTGGAGGCTGAGACCTGAGGATCCCAGTTCAAGCCATCCTAGGCAGGAGAGTCCATGAGACTTACCTCTGCTCAGAAAACCGGAAGTAGCTCTGTGGCTCAAAGTAGTACAGTACTAGCCTTGAGCAAAACAGCCCCAGGGACAGGGTCCAGGACTTGAGTTCAAGCCCCATGACCAAATGAAAAAAAAAAAAAAACTTTTCTACATCACTTTAACAATCCCTTCTCTTTAGAAGCTATGTTGAAAATGAACTTAAACTAAATTGGGAGAGAATGAAGGGGTTACCTGACTTATGAATTGGTAACCCCTCTGTACGTCACTTTTATAATAAAATTTATAAAATTAAAAAATAATAAAAATAAACAATCCCTTCTTAAGTTAAATCAAAATAACCCATAGCACATATAAAAGGTGAGAGGCAGGCTGAGCAAATGTAGTCATTATATTCAATGTACATTATATAAGAACTGAACTACCATAAGTTGAAAGTAGGGATAGCAGGAGAGAATGGAGAAGAGTGGAAGGGGTGTCACTGATCAAGATACACTGTACTGATAACCTGATGTATGGAATTGTAACCTCTGTACATCACTTTTTTTTTTTTGTCCTGGTGCCTGAACTTTGGGCCTGGGCACTGTCCCTGAGCTCTTCAGCTCAAGGCTAGCGCTCTACCACTTGAGCCACAGCGCCACTTCCAGCCTTTTCTGCTTATGTAGTGCTGAGGAATCAAACCCAGGGTGTCATGCATGTGAGACACCACTGAGCCACCTTCCCAGCCCTCACTCAATAATTAAAAAAAAAAATATCCTATAGCAGTAGAAGGCTAGGCCTTATTGCTGAGACTCCAGAGTCTCAGCATTAAGACTAATCCAAGCCGGGTGCTGGTGGCTCACGCCTGAAATCCTAGCTACTCAGGAGGCTGAGATCTGAGGACAAGATCGTGAGACTCCTATCTCCAATAAACCACCAGAAAACCGGAAGTGGCGCTGTAGCTCAAGTGGTAGAGCGCTCGCCTTGAGGTGAAGAGCTGAGGGACAGCGCCCAGGCCCTGAGTTCAAGCCCCACGACCGACAAAAAAAAAAAAAAGACTAGTCCAAATCTGGAATGAGGACACAGGCCTAAAAGCCAACAGCTAATTAGTACAGGAGCCCAGAAATCAGGAATTCAGTCTTTTCATCAAGTGTGCTCATTTATTATTAGCCATTAAAAAATTGCTACGTAGCAATTTTTTAACTGCTTCTTTCAGGTATCTCATATATTCCTAAGGAAGCTGTAAAGCTGAAATATTCCTATGTTTTCTCTATCTGTATCAGTATATACTTTTAAGTAGCTAAGGGATCAGAATGTAAGAGTTAATGAAAGAAAGGCTGGGTGATATGGTTGAATGATATAGAATTTTTCTAGCAGGCTCAAGTCTCTGGATTCAATTTCCAGTCCCACCACTACCAAAAAAAAAAAAAAAAAGTAAATAAGAGAGAAAAATATCCCAAACAAGTATTGTCTAAATTACTCAAGAAGGGGCTGGGAAGGTGGCTCAGTGATAGAGCGCTTGCCTTGCATGCATGAGGCCCTGGGTTCAATTCCTCAGTACTACATAAGCAGAAAAAAAAAAAGGCTGGAAGTGGCACTGTGGCTCAAGTGGTAGAGCGCTAGCCTTGAGCTGAAGAGCTGAGGGACAGTGCCCAGGCCCAGAGTTCAGGCCCCCATGTCCGGACCCAAATAAATAAATTACTCAAGAAGAATTATTTACGAATTTTACGAAGCTGGGTCAGGCACTAGTAGCTCATGCCTGTAATCCTAGCTACTCAAGAGGCTAAGATCTGAGGACTGTGGCTTGATGTCAGCCCAGGCAGGAAGGTGAGATTCTAATCTTCAACTAACCACCAGAAAACTGGAAGTGGAGTTGTGGCTCAAAGTAGTAAAGCACTAGCCTTGGGCAAAAGAGCTCAGGGACAGTACCTAGGCTGAGGTCATGACTGACCAACCCCTCCCCCCAAAAAAAAACTACTTAAGAGAATAACATCAAGAGAATTCCTAATTATAAAAGACTTAATACTTCCTTATATTCCTAAGTCATATAAATTCTTGTTACTTTTTATTTCATTTGTCATCTTGGCAGTACTGACAACCTCTTCCACAAACATCTATGAAATCTTCCTATTTCACTGGAATGACTTCTACTATGTTCTTTTAGTGACCACCCCTTCCTCTGCCCCCTCAAATTCTAAAATAACACCTTTATCAGCTCATGCCAGTTTTAATAAATTTTGATAAGTTTCACATTTAGTACATCAACTACAAATTCTTTGTCCTCCAGATCAGAGTCTTCCTATTTCCTTTTCTACTTTCCTTGTATACAGTATCATATCTGCTTTCCTCTTCCCACACATTTTCTAACACCACCTCCATAAAGCTATTCTTAACCTGGGCCACTCACTCTTTCATTTCTCTCTTAAATTCCTACCAACCATTGTCTACTTCATATTATATTTAATTATACAGATATTATTTTCTAACACATCTATAAACTTGATTCTAATGAGAAAAAAAACCTTGCCAAAAAATCTAAATTAATTGCACTCTATAAGAAACACAGAGGACAGAAAAGCATGTTAATCAATACTATAGGAACAATATCAGTAAAATCTGGGATGATAACAAATGTGTTGCATGGGTAAGAGGCAGAGAGTCAATCTACAGACTAACACAGCCTTAAAAGACATATTTCCATGGAAATCTTATATAGATCTTGAATAAACAAGTTAAAAGTACAGTATTTGACATTTATGAGACAAAATGGAAATCAGTGATTTTCTAATATTAAGAAATTATTATACCTGGGCACTGGTGACTCACACCAATAATGCTAGCTACTAAGGAGGCTGAGACCTGAGAATATCCAAGTCAGGAACACAGGCAGGAAAATCTGTGAAACTCTTATCTCCAATAAACCACAAAAAACTGGAAGTGGAGCTTAAGTGGTAGAGTGCTAGCCTTGAGCAAAATGGATCCAGGCCCTGAAGTCAAACTCCAAAACCATCCCCAAAAAATAAAGGAAAGAAGGGAGGGGCCGGGCACTGGTGGCTCACTCCTGTAATCCTAGCTACTCAGGAAGCTGAGATCTGAGGATCTCGGTTCAAAGCCAGCCCCAAAGCCAGCCCCGGCAGGAGAGACCATGAGACTCCTATCTCCAATAAACCAGAAAACCGGAAGTGACGCTGTAGCTCAAGTGGTAGAGCGCTTGCCTTGAGCTGAAGAGCTGAGGGACAGCGCCCAGGCCCAGAGTTCAAGCCCCACGGCCGACCAAAAAAAAAGAAGTGAGGGAGGGATGGAGGGAAAAAGAGAAGGAAGAGGGAAGGAAGGGAAATTATTGTAATTATTGTAAATTTCCTTTTAGAAATGATAACAGTATAATAATTATATTAAATACTCCCTTCCCCCTCTCGGCATCAGTTCTGAGGAATGAACCCAGTGCCTTAGGCATGCTAGAAAAATACTTTATCACTTGAGCCAGGACCCACACCATGTGTCCTTGTTTTGTAGAAATATATACTGGAAATTTCAGATGCAATGGAAAACTACAAAATTAATAAGTAAAAACAGGGCTGGGAATGTAGCTTAGTGGTAGAGTGCTTGCCTAGCATGCATGAAGCCCTAGGTTTGATTCCTCAGTACCACATAAACAGAAAAAGCTGGAAGTGGTGCTGTGGCTCTAGTGATAGAGCGTTAGCCTTGAGTACAGAGAGGCTCAAGGACAGTGCCCAGGGCCTGAGTTCAAGCTCCAAGACTAGCAAAATAAAAATAAATAAATACATAGTTTCTATCTCAGTTTCATGAATTTCACATTATAGAAAACAGTTAAGACCTAGCTAGGTCTGAAATTTAGAGAACTATAGTTAGATGTAAAGTATGGCTAAAATAACTACTTATTATTTGGTAAAATGTAAAACATGAATTTTGAAAAAGAAAATCCCTTGATGTAGATCAGTGACACAGCATTAGGTCTGAGTATGATTTACAGCAAAGAAAAAAGGGAAGGGAAAAGAAAGGAAGGAAAGGAAAGAAGGGAAGAGAGAAAAGGGGAAGGGAGAAAAGCATGGAAGGGAGAAGGGAGAAAAGGGAAAAAGAGAAGGGAGGAAGAAAGGTTCCAAATAGACCAATTTCAAGTTCCTTCCACCTTTATGCTATCTAAATATGTTGTCATTCTTCTCTATTACTGTCTCCTTAGTTTTGCCTTTTCCCTCATTTCACTTACCCAGTCAGCTGTCAATTGTTCTCTAAATTCTCCCAGCCATATCCTTCTCTTTTCTATACTGTATTTTCAGTATATAGACTAACCCCTGTCCTTTGTTTTAGACCTCATCTCTTAGACATAATCTCTTCAAAAGTACAGCTTTTATTTAGTCCATCATTCCTCTGTTGAAAGCCGAAACAACAGATCTAAGATTGTATTTCAAAAGACCTTCAATGATATATTTAGTTCCAGCTTACCTTACAACCATTGTTTTCCTTCATTTAAATAAATGTTTCAGATCTTTAGCCTAGACCCCTTCACTAACCTCTAACCTCATAAGTTTCCAACTTCTAGCTGTCTCAAAACCACTGAATTTTAATCTACCATTGCTGAACTTGTTGCCATTGTTGCAAAATCTAACTCAGTAATCCCTACGTTATGTAAGTCTGATACCTACCAGTCATCCTTAGCACCTCCCTTTTCCTCACCCCTATTTTAAACCTATTGCCAAATTCTATAATTTTATTTCCTGAATCTGCCAGTTTATCTCCATTTCCCTCACTACCTACTTCCTAACTGATTTAATGCCCCCATCCAAGCTGTCCTCCACAGTGAAATCAGAAATAACCTCTTTAAAATGAAAAATAAGCCGGGTGCTGGTGGCTCATGCCTTTAATCCTAGCTACTCAGGAGGCTGAGATCTGAGGATCATGGTTCAAAGCCAGCCCAGGCAGGAAAGTCCATGAGGCTCCTATCTCCAATTAACCACCCGAAAACCTGAAGTGGCGCTGTGGCTCAAGTGGTAGAGCACTTGCCTTGAGCTGAAGAGCTCAGGGACAGCGCCCAAGCCCAGAGATCAAGGCCCAAAACCAACCAAAAAAAGAAAGAAAAAGAAAAATAATCAGGTATAGTGGGGTAGGGAAAGTGATAGAGAAGGGATCAGATTGACTGGAATACTTGGGAAATGTGTGCAAATTTCATTAATTCCTCCCTCTGTGTAAATAATGTATACTAATGAAAAGAGCAAAATAATCATATTACCAATCCATATGCCCCTAAATCTTTTGCTTATATTTGGAAATGTCTTCCCTATAGTTTGGCCCCAGACTATTTCTTCCATTTTATCTCATACCAGCATCACTTTTGCTGGATATGTTTCAGCGTCATTCTTCCTTTTCCTCATAATCATGGTGTTCAATTCTAAAATGTTCTCTTAATACATGGCTAAAGCCTTCCCTAACCTCCCTACCTAAATCCAATCTTCCATTAATCTCAGGATATCAAGAATCTCTCCTTTATCATACTTACCAGATACAGTTTTACAACTATATTCAATTAATATCCATTCCTCCACTACCATGTAACTTCCCAATGGGAACAGCATCGATAAGTTTGTGTTTTTAATTCACCATGGTGCCTGTATTTCCTCTTATTGTTCTTCTGTTCAGAGTACTTCCTCTTCACAAACTACTCAAATCCATCCCATCTTTATAAATTCTCCACTCAAAGCCAGGCGCTGGTGGCTCACGCCTGTAATCCTAGCTACTCAGGAGGCTGAGATCTGAGGATCGCGGTTCAAAGCCAGCCCGGGCAGGAGAGACCG